TGCGGCGCTGCACCACGCAGGCCGGAGGAGCGGGGTGTGCTGCCGTGCAAGGCGCGCCCGGACCTGCGGCTCTAAAGCGTAGCTTCACTTTCTTAGTCTTCCAGTCACCGGCCTCTTTTGTGTCCCCAAAAGGGACTTGCTGTCACTTACGATACGATCAGAGACAGAGCAGTTTTCGTGCTCCGAGCGTTGTGTTTATTCTGCCGGCGCTCGCTGCTGGCCGGAGATGGAGATTTTGAAAGGGAAGGCAGCAAACGTCAGGCTTGGTAGCCGGCTCTGCGCAGCTTCTGCGTGGCGTCTGGAGAATCGCTCCATTTTCTTTTCTTTTTTTTTTGTTGGGCAGGAAAGATAACAGGCGTAGCCAGAAGTTTCTTAGTGCCCATAAAAATACATCCTTTGCATTAACTGATTTTTTTTTCCCCTTGGCCGTTACTTCATGTTTTACAATAAAACCACAAGACGTACTGATTTTTCTGTGGTGACCAACTGTGCCAATAGGGCAGGTGCCCGGCCCCGCTGCTAGGCCACCGCACTTGGAAAGAGCCGAAGATAACAGCTTGCTCAGTGCCCGCATCCAGCCCGCCGGTGTTTTAAAGCGGCCCAGCACGCGCAGCCAGAGCGCGGGACCGCGGGCGGGACTGCAGCCTGCGCGGCCCTGTGCGCCGACAGCGAGGTCCCGCTCCTGTCATCTGCGCCTTGACACCACCAGTTGCTCTTTCGGTGCTCTCTTTTAAACAAGACTAATTCTAAAAAATGATGGGAGCCCATCGCAGGGGGTGCAGCCTCAGCGCCCCCGGGGCTGGGAGCCACCGCTCGTCCCGCCTGAGCAAGGGGGGACATCGACGGTGGAGGTTCAGCTCAAGGCACGTGCCGATGCCCCCACCGGCCTTCGTCCTGTGCAGCGGCCCGAGAGGAAGGAGGGACGATTTTACAGTAGCGCTGGGGTTTTAAGCCTCTTCCCCGCACAACCCTGCTTTTCCCCACAGGGACGGGGCTGAAACAGTCCTGCCGAGCGGCTACTACGGAGGGCAGGATGCAGGGCAGGGGGAGCAGGGGGGGGGGGGGGCATTGGATGGGGGAGGGGGGA